GAGGTGTAAAATCGCAGAGTTTCAGTCGGTGGACCCAAGTGGATTGGTTACAATCTGTCACTTATCTGTGCAGTGATACTGGGATTGATACAGGCAAGAGGCGACAGTTAATTCTATACATTGCACAGCCCCCTAGACTTTGGTATAACAAGGCCCTAGTAGTCTCTACCAGACTTCAGAAGTGGCAGGAATGAGTAGAAATTGCCAAAATAGAAAGATAACATGCCAGGGGAGTTGCCAGTTGGGTCGTTAAAGGAGTACAGTTTGCCGCTCCCGAATGTACTCTCTGGCAGACCAACTACCTCGGCAAGTTATCTCTCTATTTGGCCTATTTCTATTCCTTTTAGCCGTCTTCCGAAGCCTGGCAGAGGCTATGTACTCGATACAAAAGAAGCCTAAATCATGATCTCTCACAAGAGCGCTAAAATTCTATATCAGTCAGTCACCGTTTTGACCCTGTAAACTTTAGCACCTTTTTTCATATTCTAATTACGGTGTACCTAATTGAAGCCATTGAAAGTAAAAGTTTATTTGAATAGCAATAGACGTCACTTTCCATTATATAACAACCGTGAAAACCGTTTTACATGTCATAACCAACCACTCCTCAACAACTGTTTCAAATTTCACAACGACACTTTGACAAGACGTGAAACTAAGCTTACGTAGTTTCTTCGAAGTGGCAGAGAAGTTGAATGAGGAAAATTTGGTAAAGCAAGAAATGAAGAAAATAGATTTTTGTGGTACAGACAGGACCATACAAAACGTACCGTCCCCAGAGACCATACGATAATTACACTAGATCTGCCTCCAGCATTGCTAGTGAAAGTCTTTGCGGGGGTAGCTTCCCTTTATGTTGAAAGAAAGTGAGATTTTTCTCGAGAAAGTGAAATCTTAAAGGGGGTAGAGTCATTTACATGTAACAGAGCGCAAGGCAGCTGGGCTTTTGTGACTTTTTCAAATCGACCGTCTCAGGAGGATGATGTCTAGTCTAAGTCTAAGAAGCAGTTTCTGGTGCTAATGAAAATGTGATAGCCTCGTTACAGTCCCGTTGAGGCTTCATGGCGTCTTCAAAAAAACAACTAGATTTTCGGTAAATGCAGCTATTGTCAAGAATAACCTTGCTAGTAAAAAAACATAGCCAAGTACACACTACTACAATGTACAACGAACGAACCTATACATGCCGTATATTCTGTAAGGAATACATGTCTTTGAAAATGGGAAAATAACGCTACATTCGTTGTATATACGCTTTAACATGTGTAACATGTTTAGAACGTTAACATTCTTCTTCCTCCGTTAACGTCCAGCTGCAGCTTGGAATCGTTGACATTGAATCATTCTCAAGCAGGCAATGGCATTACCAACCACCGATAAAGATCTATTAAAACACCCTTTTCAATAACAAGACCGCTGGATTTTGTACCAAACATTTACTATTTTCTTAATGCCACAATTTTCCGGTTATATGATGATCGTACGACTATCGTGCGACGAATGCTACTCTCCAAGCAGAGGTTTGGGCTTTGACTTATTTATCGGGCTTTCTTTTTAGTACTGGTATCTTTTTTTGTGCCAGCCTCTGCTTGGTGACTAGACGAGTATGACACCGCGTCCTTACTCCATAATATATACTAGTAGACGACATAAACAATATTCTCCATCAAATTTTCGCCTAGGTGCGAACCTCGCCCACTCATAGAAAACCGCTTCGCACGTTCCCGTGACCCCTTGTCGACTTTTTCCGTGCACAGATGTCTAATCACCCATGTAATACACAACACACGGCGCACTGTACAACCACCGAGTCATCAACATCAATACACCAAAGGCAGCGCCGCCGGTACAAGAAACAAAGTCAACACAGTCCGACCAAGTACATCACAAAGGCATTGTTGAAGTTGATTTTGTCTTGTTAAGATGATTGTACTCTGGAGTGTCATCACGGTTAGACAAGGAAATGGAAAGTGGTCAATAATGTATTAACTTGATGGCCACTTTCTGTTTCAAACACTTTCGGCATGGTTTTCATGCAGTGTGATGCATATAACAAGAAAAGGATATAATGTTTATGTAAAAGTTAAACTTTTGACGCCCTGAGGTTTGTTTCTTTCGTCATCTGCAATGTCCAGTAGATCTATCGCTGTATCATGTAAAAATTGAACTTTTGATGCCCTGAGTTCTTTTGTCAGTAGATTTAGATTTTAAAGCCTTTATTTTAAAACCTGTTTGGTATACCAAAGGAGATAAAGAAATATTATCGTTGTGTCGGCCAATTTCTACTATTTTTTCGACCACTGAAATGTCTGGTAAAGACAAGGCTAAGCCACAAGAATAGCTGATAACAAATCAGAAATACGTCCTAGGGCCTTTCTCGCACCTAGCTAATATAATAGTAAACGTGTCAAACGTTCTTATCATAAAGAAATGCGAGAAATCTACTAGTCCAATCCCTGGTGCTCTTCCCAACAGAACTATTTCCAATCACAAAATACAATACAGGTCACCTAATGATATGCGTACGATATAATAGATAACGATTTTTGCCGAAAAAAGTTCGCAATCAACATTGTTTCATTGAAGAGAAGTAATATAGGCAATGAAGATATGAAGACTAAAGGAATAAAAGAATAAACCCATAATCACCATACATAAAAGAAACCAGATCATACATTCTAAAGGAGCTTAATTAATTGTATGTTTGTGAACGCATCTCTTATCATTGGGACAATGCCTTACTGAATGTGTTGCCGAGCAGGGTACTACAGTTGATAATTCCAATACCGTATTATCACACCGCTCACCGGCGATTTAGCACGTTTTTATCACAATACACATCCGCGGGGGCTTCCGCTATCAGGAGGTGTGATGTTTGCGTTTGCTTATTGCACCTAGTTGTTGTTCCGGGTGGTCATTAAAAGGTGTAATGATGACCGGGACGATCTCGGTCTCCATTGTGTTTCCCTCAGAGTTTATCTGATGTTCTGATTAACGACGTACACCTGTGTAACCACGTAACGTGGAAGAGTACAGGTTTACATAGCGAGGATGAATGAACTGGTGTACTGAAAGAGCTATCTCTTTTTTTCAGCTTCAAAATATATATTTTCGACTCATATATACGTAACTTAAAGGTCCTGTTTTGTTACTCAATTTGGCGATGTTGTGAAAACGTTGTACTTTTTACCGCTGGATGTAAAGTATTTTTGTTTCCGCAAAATCTCGAAGTCTATCTTCATACAAACATACAAACAATGGGCACTACAGCGGAGCTTAGAAGGGCGTTACAAACCCAGGAGTATCTATTGTTAAAGCAGCAATAAAAGTCCATTGTGTAGATGCTATTTCAAGTGTCGAATGACATTTTAAGGAACAGTATCAACTAAATATTCTGAAGTTCTACATTATGTATTATGGTCTTTGTGAGTCTATCTTCATACAAACATACGAACAAGTAGCTATAGCTATGAAATGCGCTGCTTCACTATAACGCACGCTTATCCTTTCTGTTACTATTATATAGGATACTATAGTACATTGTAATAGCTTTTATGCTATGCATTACGATCGTATACGCAGGAAAAATATCTACAACGTTTCTTTTCGTAATAGAATAAATACCACTAAGGTTACATCAGGTCAAATGGCCACACCTGCACTCATTCTTCGGAAGTGGTAGTGCCAGTTGGTCATTTCTCACAAAACTTAGTGGGTGGGTGAGTGAGTGGGTGGGAATTGAAATGCATCGTCTATTGAATCAAACATAGGTGTGGATGTGAATTATATGTTAAGCCCTTCCCATCCGTTCAATGTAATAACAAGTATGATAACGTAATATACATGAATGTACACACATCAAGCAAAGGTGAGATTATGTAATTAGGTAATTATCATACATTACGTTTGTGATATACCGTCCTACATGTATGTAAATGATGCTATAGCTAGCGGCAAAAATGCGAGTCCTTATAACTGTTTTCTATCCACCGATCTATAAGATGACAAAGGAACACTGAACAAATTTAGGAGGTTAGAGATATGCAATACGAAGAGAGGATTACGTAATGTAAAGTGAGCTAGTCAAAGTGCTTTACTCAAATAAAACGCAAGGTGGCGCTAGTGTAGATACAGTGGGAAAAGGCACGACTAACACACGACCTTGTCACCGTGGTCCTAACACCTAGCCTCCATAGCATGCCGAAAACTGGGGGTTTTGGGGGTCTTCAGGGCCTTCGGGAGCTTTTATGTGCTATTTTCTGATTGCATATAGACAACATAGCCGGCCAGGTTCAATTACCCCCGTTTTAGAACTGGGCTAATAAGAAAACAGCCGAAGACCACCAAACCCCCAGTACCATAAGCCTGCTACGGAGGCTACTAACACCCTCTTCCTCAAATAGAACAACTTAGAAGTAATATACTGTCTTGAATTCGAAACACATATGTTTACTGTTTGTTGCTCGTTTCTATCCTTGTACAGGCTAGAGGGTCAAATTTGACTTAATCTGTAAGAAGATCCCAAGGCGGTGAGACATGTACAATACCCACTGGTCAAGGAGTGCCCTGTGTCTAATGGTCACTCCTTTGTCCAATGGATACTGTCTTGCCACAGTAGGATCATGCTTGAAGATGACTAGTGCTTGTGATTTGAATGTTCTCTTCCGTAGGACCACAGGCCGTGGGCGCGGCACGCGTTTGGTGTCCTCCTCCGAGGGTCGTGTGGCACACTGCCCAAACACATGCCCCGCGCCCTTAACACACCAACCAATCACAACACCCCGACAGCAAAAACTGCAGTGACGCGCCAACCAATCAGGAGCCGTTCTCGTCACCTCGACGCAACCTGATTGGTCCAGAGTGCAAGAATGTTTCCGTCCCGACCACAGCTCACACAGGTAAAGGTTTGACGCCCGTGCCGCCTTCCTACACTCGCTCGCAGTCCACAAGCCGACAGAGAACACTCACGGGAAGGTCTGAATCTGGACGAGATTGACTCACCCGCTCAACCACGTTCAGCATGCCGAAAGAAAAAGATGCCGCCATTTCTTCTGAGAGACGAAAGGTAGCTGTATTCTTTGTACTTTGCGTTGAGACATTTTATTGTACATTTTGGGGTTAAAATTGAAGATAATTTGACTCGTATGCGACACAAGACTGTCGCGTGCCGGCGTGGTGGAAGCACTCTCCAGAGGCATCACGACTCGTGTTTGTTTATTTGTTTGTTGATTGTATTCTTGTTGTTCTTGACAGTCCTCCAAGCCTATCATGGAGAAAAGACGCCGAGCAAGGATCAACGAAAGTCTCAACCAACTTAAGACACTCATCCTGGACGCCCAGAAGAAAGACGTAAGTGTATATATACCATATCTACTGTCTTTGAAGAGTTTGTGGCAATGGTTTGCGTTGAAGTGGCATAACATGTACAAGGTATCAGGCACTGACAGACTTGTTATTCCATTATATAATTTTGCAGAGTTCGCGCCAAAACAAGTTGGAGAAGGCGGACATCCTGGAGATGACGGTCCGGTACTTCCGAGACATGCGGAGACATCAGCTGGCCCTGAGCGTTAGCGCCGACCCCAACACACACGGCAGGTACCGGGCAGGGTTTAACCACTGTACGACCGAGGTCTCCCGCTTCACCGAAGGAATGGTGGACCCTCCGGTCCGACAGAGGTTACTGGGACACTTGGCCGGGCTCTCGCAGACCGTGGAGGACGCGGAGGTAAACCCTGGGCCGGCACCGTCGCCCCCAGTTCCGCCTGTTCAGTCTGCCTCGGCTACTACCGTGTCTGTAGCCGGGGCCATACCAGTAGTCAGCCCGAAGGTCCAACTGACCCCGTGCCCGGGAGCGGGGATTCAGTCTACGATGTACGCCGGCGGGATCCCCGTGGTGCCCGGGCAAGTATCGGGCGGAGAGCCGGTGGTTGTTCTCCTGCCCAGCCAAGCCTTTCCAGGAGGACAAGTGCCGAGCCACGTCATCCCCGTCTACGCGAACGCGACGCTGCTAACCCCCCAGCCGGGTACGCAGTTGTACGGACACGGGTCTACTACCACCGTACCGCCGCAGTCTCCCACACCGCAAAATGGCCATGTGGCTACGGGGGAGACGCCCGGCACCCCCGCCCAGAACTCCGCACACTGTCCGGGACATCTCATCATCCAGTCCGAGAAAATGTGGAGACCCTGGTAGTATAGTACATAATACACGTATCCCTCCAAACATAACCTTGGAAAAGCAGATGCTATGTAAAACGTTTGCTATGCTTGTTTTCTCGTGCCTTTATGTTGTTGTAAGTACGCTGTTTTCTTTGTGGTGCAGAAGATTATGAACAGTCGGATTTTCTATTTTGATACTGTATATAATGCTCTATGGAATAGAACTGTTGAAAATAAACAAAAGTGGCAATTTAAAGTACACGGTTTGGTTGTCCTTGTTTTTCTATCGGTTCAATGGTGAATACTGTTTGATTTTAATAGCGTCGTTTCAGAATATTGTTGTGACTTTTTGGCTGTTTTCTGTCGTTTTAACCGTTTTTTTAACGTTTCTGAAATTGGTTTAATGAAAGATGTGAATTGCTGCCGGGGGCTGTTTGCTCTTAAAACCTTTAATCCAGTATTTAGGTTTGTAAACAGTGAAACGAAGGTCTTTAATCATGACATCACCGTTGCCAGGGGCGACCGGAGTGTCGTGTGGAAGGCGCAAACTCCCTTTCAGTAGCACCGCATCAAAACGTCATTAAGACATTCCTGTGATACCCGGAGTGATAATCTTCTACTGTTTTCACCTCTTGGCCCTTCGGAAATCTGTAATACTGTCGTACCTGGATTGGCATGGACACAAGAATGCTTCACTAAAAGGTCCAAAGTCTATGAGATAGGCGTGTCCATACATAACTTTGACACGACTTCGGTGTTTTGTTGTATCTGTAAGTTTTGCGACACGTGTACCTGGCACTTTGCAATTGGTAGCCTCCATAGCATGCCAAAAACTGGGGGTTTGGGGGGTCTTCATGGTCTTTGGGAGCTTTTATGTGCTATTTTCTGATTGCATATAGACAACATAGCCGGCCTGGTTGAATTATCCCCGTTTTTAAAACTGGGCTAATCAGAAAATAGCCGAAGACCACCAAACCCCCAGTTCTATAAGCCTGCTACGGAGGCTGGCACTTTGGCAGAATTTCCTTTTTTGTTTCCATCGTTTGTTCAGAAGTGACTCTGGCGCCCGACGCATTAGAACAAGGTCACCGGTCCATTCTGTAGGCATGCCTTCGTCTCTTCCTTGATAAGATTTGGCACACACAGCAGAACACATGTACAGAATAGGTTTGCAACTGACTACTGTATATTTAGAGGCGTTGTGAGCACAGGGGGGGGGGCTGTTGAAATGGTAGAGGCACCTAATCTCCAAGCAGATCATACGGTGGCAAGGCAGTATCCATTGGCCAGAGGAGTATATAGTAGAGGGGATTCACTCCTCAAGCTAACCGACATCTCGCACACGCAGTCGTCCCTCAATCCTGGAGCCGCATAGTTCCCGTTTAGAACTTTTATTCAGTCTGTCACACAAGGTTGATGTTGTCCCCAACAACCTCTGCTCGGAGGTTATTGTTTTATTACCTTCTGCTAGTCTGCGAGGAGATCTCAAAAGGAGTATCTCTAATCTCGAAGCAGATCCCTTTCGGTGGCAAGACAGTATCCATTAGCCAGAGAAGGTCGCCGGCCACCGACGGGGTTAGCAAAAAAAGGCCACATATAAAAAGCTAACGATCATTCCCCCACAACCTCTGCTTGTAGAGTATATATCTCAATGTTTATACAAAAACTTCCGAATGTCAGCTGTGTCTGCTGTTCCCCCAGGCAAGAAGTCCCACCTAAAAACCAGCTGGTGGTACAAAAGACATAACAACGCTTTAATTGTTGATATTTTGAGCCAAGAAATAATGTACCATGTGGTCAAGATTTTAGAGGATGACATCACAACTTTGTGGTCTTTTTTCTAGAATTTCTAAGCTGGAGGAAAAATGCAAAATTGGATCGTAAAAATCATGAATCCTCGGGCGAAGTTGACCAGGGATTTCACGGTTCATCTAGCTGCACTAAAACGTCACTCAAATCATTTTAAAACAAAGACAAGCAAACAGCACCGAACAATAGCCTTCTATATAGTACTCTTCCGATCGCTAATTGATAAGATCGGTGGTCACTTCAACGAAACAGCTGTACACTACTTCCTACACTGCCCACTGTACACTGACGAACGCATTGACATGTTATCATCTCTAACTAACATTCTGCCATTTGACACAACGTCACCGACAACACTTTATGTTCAACCATTCTCAGGGGTAACCCCTCATTGTCGTTTGTCAACAACTGTAACATATTTGATGTGGTTTTCAACTTTATTTTGCAGACAGGACGTTTTGTTTGATTTAGTTGATTCATTTTGATTTGTACACCAGCCTACTATGTACCCTTGTCATTTCTTATTATTATTATTACTTTGTTTTATTGTATCCTTTTATGTGTGAGGAGAGGGCTGAGATAAGTTTTATAACTTTTTGCCTCATCCTCGGAAAATAAATGTGAATAAAATAAAATAAATAAGATCGGGGGTTTGGGGCACCACGTGCATTGTGTCTTCTGAGGCATATTATGATAGCATTACTGTACTGTCTTTGCCCATTCATGAATGCCAAATCATGACAAGATACCAAAACAAACATTAGACAACACATACAACAATATTTAGTTTTAAGGTACACGGTGTACAAAAGTATTCTCTCTCCTTGCACCATATGCATTTTCTGGAGTTTTAGGCGTTCGTATTTTTATTGCGATTCGATGTTTCAATGATTGACTTTAACGTAGCACAACTCTGTATTTGTACACCTCAAATGATGCGAAAAGAATACAGATTAGAACAATAGGGCAGTCTTGTCTTATTGTATAGCGTCATGTCAGAAAGTAACATGGTCACACCCTGCTTCTGTTATCCATTGGCAAGGATGTGGTTCGTATAAACGTTGGAGTCAAATTTAAACACTCTGGAATTTGCTCACGATACAAACGTCCTAGGCCATGTCAATGACGACAAGAATCTAAAGCATTCTTTTTTGTTGCAACACAGCTGAATTTTGTACGAGGTACGCAGGGCTATATCTAGGATGCTTTTAAGTTAACTTAAAGTTAAAGAACCTTTCCGCATCAATTGACGCATAGGGCGGCGCCCATCTCCGTTTTCACTAGCCCTGGGCCACACAGCAATGCAATCACAACTGGGGGCTAGTTCAGTAGTAGTGCTGTGTGTTTAACTCCCGTACTCTTTCCCAAATGCTGAGTGCTAAGCAGAGAAAGCAGTATGTACGATTTGGTATGACTCGGTCGGGGATCAAACTCACGACCTACCGAATGCAAGGAGAGCACTCTACCCACTTGGTCATTGCATAGAATGAGTCAAGAATGCCGTCAATGCATTCAGTATCGCACGACAATCCCACGACATTCGTACGACGAACGTGACCAGGTCCTAAGTAAATGCTGATGTCAGGCACGAGCTATGCGCCTCCGTCCCCGCCCCAGGCGCGCGCGCCGTACACACGGACTTTGAAACCTCCCGATCGTGGGAAAAACCAACAAAACGTGCGACCGGCCCCCCTCCCTATCGTTCAACCACTTCAACTCATCAATAACTGCCACGGTTTATCAGGTTATGAATACATGGTTATCAGCAGCTGATTTATACTATGGCGCACCTGTGGGTTGGTACACCAACAGAGGAAACTTGCAAATTCCTGAACATGTCACGTACACCGGTTCGTGGCCAAGCTATTCCAAAGTTGGCAAATATCACAAACATGATCTGCTCCCACATTTTCCACTGTACAAAAAAACAAGAAGAAGTTGGCCTCTCTATATTAGATCAGTGACTAGAACACTTTGTATTAGCCTAGTATAGTACCCTTGTATGTTCCTTATGTATGTATGTCTAAGTCTAGTAGTACATCTTTTGTCTCCAATTTTCTATATACGTTTGTTATGTGTCTGTTATATGTTGACCTGTACCTAGCCCGTCGTGGCATGAATGTACAATAAAGTTATTTCATATATCCAATGATCCCTCTTTCTGCACCCTGCATGTAGTGTACTGTTAACTACATCGAGATTTATAATGAATGAATGAAGACCTTTACATTTATTATACTTTACATACAAGATTGGTTCAGTACAGCTCACAAACAGAAGAATAGCTTGTACAGTCACATGTAATACAGTAGTATTACACAGCTCAGAAGAGAACAAGAAATAACCATGCCTTCAAGTACCAGAGTTATCAACCAAGGATTGAGGTGTTCAAGACTTCATTCTTTCCTAGGACTATCGCAGAGTAGAACTCGCTGTCACCAAGTACAGTAGGGGCATTGCCATTAGATAGCTAGCGTTAAACAATGTCTAGAATTAGTTGTTCAAGGGTTAGGTGTAACAAGTCGATCGGTGTAATGTAGCCAGCTGCCGCCGCGTCGCGTGCCTGCGAAGCTGGTGTGTTACGCCGAAAAGCGGTTATACAGTACTCTCCAAGCAGAGGTGAGAGGGAGAGAGCCATGTCGGAATATCCTACGTTCTCTCCCTCTCACCTCTGCTCTCCCTCTCACCTCTGCTTGGAGAGTAGTTATACAGGGTATACAGATACAGATACATATGTATACATACATGTGATCAAAACCTGTCACACATTCACGACTTTCCCCGAATTTGTTCCCGAACACCATCCGAACAGGTTCGGATGACTTGCGGGAGTCGTCTGACCAGATCTATACGAATCGAAACGAATTTGAGTTAAATTTGAGTCAAATTTGACAGTCGAACCCTGCTGACTCACTCCCGAATGATTGGTTGGTTTTCTGCTGACTTACAGCCGAATACCAGCAAACCATGGTCGAAATTCCCGACCAACTCCCGAATGTTTTTAACATTTTGAAAAATTCGGCTGGACTGCTCCCCGACTTCAGCCAACCTTGGTCGGCTATTGTTCGGGGGAAGGTTCCGAATATGTGACAGGGTCTGAACTGGCACAACTGACAAGTCTAGCCTCCGTAGCAGGCTTATAAAACTGGGGGCTTGGTGGTCTTCGGCTGTTTTCTGATTAGCCCAGTTCTAACGGGGGTAATTCAACCAGGCCGGCTATGTTGTCTATATGCAATCAGAAAATAGCACATAAAAGACCCTGAAGACCCCCAAAACCCCCAGTTTTGGGCATGCTATG